CATCTCGGATTTGTGTGGGGTTTTTCTTCTCTATCTCAGGAAAGTTTTCTGTCATAATTTCTTGAAATACGTTTTCCATGTCTTCCTCAATTCCCTTTCCTTCTGGAACCCCTATTATTCTAATATTGTTTTGTTTTGTATTGTCCCAAAGTTCCCTTAGACTTTCCTCCTGTTTTTTAATTTATTTTTCCAGAAGCTGTTCTAATTGGGTATTTTTTTCCATCTTGTCTTCTAGCTCGCTGATGTGGTCCTCTGGTTCTTCTAATCTACTCTTGATGCTTTCTATTGAGTTATTTACAGTAGCGATGTCATTTTTCATTTCTTCTTGGTTCTTTTTCATTTCCTCTTGGTTCTTACTCATATTGTCAAGTTTGTCTTCCATTCTTTTTAGCCATCTTATGATCATTACTCTGAATTCTTGCTCTGGTAAGTTGCTTGCCTCTATCTCGTTTACTTCCTTTTCTGGTGAAGCCTGCTTTTTCATTTGCGGGCTGTTTTTTTGTCTCCCCATGAGCTCTCTTTTTAGGATGTCTGGTTGGGTAGTTCTCCCTCTCTTGCTTTGATTTAAAGGCACAAAATACAACACAACCAGGTACAACACACAAGGCACTGAATAGAAAGCTGTTTGCGATATTAATAACCACCAATAAAGGTGACTAGAACCCAGCTAACAAAAACACAAACAAAAAGAATAGGCAAATCAATCTTATAAAAAAAAGCATACAACTTCAGTATAGTTAACATTCAGCATACAACTTCAAAGAGTTAGAGAGAAAGACTTTTTTTGTTTTGTTTTGATTTTAGGACAACTGTGAGGGAGGTGTTAATGGGCTTGCACCAGGGAGTTGGAAATTAGATATATACAAAGTAGGGTGAAATTTTAGGAGGGGATAAACAGAAGGAATGGAGAAAATCTAGAGCAGGAAAGGGTTAAGATAAACGGGATACCAAAGGAAAAGATCGGAGAGTGAAGGCATAAAGGTAGGGTTGAGATAGAATAAAGCGTTGGAGAAGGAAAGATAGATAAAGACTGTAGAACAGTAATCCTGAAATAAAAAATATACATATATATAATAAAATGAAATAAAAATAATAAAAATAAACAAAAGAAAATAAGATGAAAAAGGTAACTTAGTAGTAGTAATAATGTTGATTATGTATACAATGTAATAATTGTAAAGATAAAATCAAATGAGGAAAAAGAAAAAAAAGTTTCTTGAGTACACATTGCAAATAATGAAAACAAAAAACAAAAGTTTAAAAATTAAAAAAAAATAATAAAATTTTAAAAATTTAAATAAAATTTGTAGTAATGAAGGTCATTCGCTTCCTCTATTGTTATGATCCAGTCCTGATTTTTTTAGGCAGGTTTTGCTTTGTTTTTATACCACTAGAGTCAATTTGTGAATTAGCCTCTGGGGGCAGTGTTTCTAGGTTGACTTCCCAGACTCTAGAGCCTCTCCAGCTTTTTTTTTTTTTTTTCCGTCCTCTCTGCAGCAGGAACTATGGAGGGGGGGAGGGGGCAAGTCCCAGCAACTGCGATCTCCCACAACTCTCCGATATCCCTCCGAACCAGATCCAAATGTGTTGCTCTTTAGATATCTCCCCTGTTAGGAGCCCTGTCCACTTTCATGGGTGACACCCGCCCAACAGCTGGGGCTTCTAATTGTAATCACCGCCCTTGTCCTCCAGCCTCCACGTGCTCTGTGCGCGCAGGCTTTTGTCTTCGCTGCAAGCACTCTCCACCCTCTCCCCGCGAAATCTGACCTTTTTGCCGAGCAGTGGGGCACTCCTGTGAGGCCAAGTGTTCGCGCCGCCTGGGATCCGCGTTCTGGGGGGTCGCAGCTGCTTGGTAGTCGCAGCGGCTGTGGATATTCAGGCCTCTGACACGATCCTATCTTCCTCTCAAGATGGCGAGGTTTCCCCGTCCAAGCCGGTAGGTAGCTCCGGGAAGGAACATAGCCCGCGTGGGTGCTTCCCTGTGAGGGGTACCTCTGTCAGCGGCCCCCCAGCAGTTTCTTCTGGTGTTCGCTGTCTCCCAGCCTGCTAATAAACACAGCTCAAGACCATCAGCTGCTCTCTCTTTCTGCTTCGGGACAAGGCTCAGAATCCGCCCATCTATTCTTCCGCCATCTTCTCTTCCAAGTTCTCTCCATGCATTTTTATTCCTCTGTTCGGAATGGTATACTGTCACTTCTTCATATACATCCCATTGGTCAGAGAGCTCTGGCCCCCTAGTAAGAGACCCCATGATCCTGCATTCAAAAGTGTGAATGAATGCGTGATTCTGTTCCAGTGAAGAGTGAAAGTTTGAAAAAAATTATAAATATACTAGAGGCCTGGTGCATGAAATATGTTGGGGTGGGTCCTCAGCCCAGCCTGCTTCCTCTCCAATCTGGGACCCCTCAAGTGATGTCCAACTGCCCATTTAGGCCCTATCCCTCTCACAATCCAGGACTGCTGGCTCCCAACTGCTCGTCTGCCTGCCCTCCTGATTGCTCCTAATCACTACTGCCTGCCAGCCTGAGCACCCCCCTAACTACTCTCCTGCCAGCCTGATTGATGTCTAACTGCTCCTCTACCAGCCTGTTAGCCCCCAACTTCCCTCCCTCCTCTGCCAACCTGGTCACCCCTAACTGCCCTCCCCTGCAGGGTTGATCACCCCCAACTGATTTCCCTTACAGGCCTGGTCCCTCTCAACTGCCTTCTCTTGCAGGCCTCGTCCATCCCAACTGCCCTCCCCTTCTGGCCATCTTGTGGTGGCCATCTTCTGTCCACATAGGGCAGCCATCTTGTGTGTTGGAGTGATGGCCAATTTGCATATTACTCTTTTATTAGATAGAATAGAGGCCTGGTGCATGGGTGGGAGCCAGCAGGTTTGTCCTGAAGGGTGTCCCAGATCAGAGTGGGGGTTTCCTTGAGGCGTGGGGTGGTCTGGGCGAGGAGCCTGTGGTGGTTTGCAGGCTAGCCATGCTCCCTGATGACTCAGCAGAGGTCCTGGTATCTGGAATGTATTTACCTTCTACAATTGAAACTTTGTACTCTGGAGCCGAGCCAAGCCTCCTGCTCGCTCTGGGGTGGCAGCCATTTCTGTTAGAATTTATGTATCTTCTATAGTTGAAACTTTGTAGCCTTAAGCAGAGGCCTGGGTCGGCCAGGACTGCAGCACCTGGGGCAACCCTAGCCTCCTGCTCTTCCAGCTCAGTGGCTATCGCCATTTCTGTTGGAATTTATTTACCTTCTATAATTGAAACTTTGTACCTTTGAGTGGAGGCCTCGGCCAGCCAGGGTGTTTAGAAAGCTTGGCTTCCTCCATTGCCAGCAAAACCCAAGCCTCCCTCCTGCTCTCTGGTTGGGGTTTATTTGCATACTTGCTCTGATTGGCTAGTGGGTGTGTGGCTGGTGGGTGTAGTGGAATGATGGTTAATTTGAATATTACTCTATTATTAGGAGGGTATAGCTACACTTCTGGATTTTTAATTGTATAGATTGCATAAACTTTTTGATTTGTCAGATTGTTTACAAAAGAATGTTTAATATCTTAAGCAAATATTAAATTAAAATTATCTGCCTTCTGCATACTAACCTTATTAAATATAAGTGTGATAGTACAGGAGTTAAAATAGACTTGGTAATAGCTTTTATATGATTGTAATTTATAAAATATTTCATTTTTTTTTTATTTGGTCCACAAATAAGTTAAGTGATGGTGGGATCCTTATTTTATAATATAAGTGTGGAAGTTAAAAAAAAACAAAAAAACAACAACAACAACATAAAAAACTTTATGGCTAGACTAGTTAGAGCTAGTAAGTTCAAATCCTAGATTTTCATAGACTTCACATACAATTTTCTTTCCTTTATTCTTTACTGGATCTTGTGTTCCTATTTGCTGCCTTTTCCAAGTCTATATAAAAATCAGGTATATTTCTGGACCACTGCCAAAAAATCAAAGGAATCTATCACTATACTTTAGATTGCAAAAATTATATTATCTTTTATGTATTATCTTCAAACGTATGTTTGCATTGATGCAACAGTATCCTAAGGGCTGATTCTAACTAAATTTTACTCATAATCACTTCAAAAACAGATAAGGGTATTTTCTGGGTAGTTTACCAGAAACATATTCAACTTCATTATGTATTTCAAAAGTATGAGAGTAAATTACTATGGTACAACTGCCTCACATTGATTATGGTTTGAAGCTCTACATATGAATTTATTTGGGAAAAGAAATTGGCAGGAGTGGGGGTAGTTCTGTTACCGGGGTAAGTTTCAAAAATCACTATCTATACCAAGTATAGTTGGGATGACAATGTTATATCTTCAGAAAATCTTTCGTTACACAATGTTTGTTTTCCACAAATACTATATATTCCAGTAGTTGAATTATACGGAACATTCTTCTGAAAAAAGTCATGTTGTATGTCGAATTATATAACTTGTTTACCTGGTTTTTCTCTAAATCTTGCAACAAAGCTTTTAAACAATGTAATAAAATCTGGTCTGACTTTTTAGCTGTGGATTTCTACCTTTTTCTTGGACGGCATTCCATGTTCTCAAATCTGTGGACTTTTCTGGTGTTTTACTTCATTTCTCCGTTTTATGTTGTCTTTCATAATATGCAAAATTTATTCCTTTCCCCCAAATATCTCACTGTTCTGATTTATATCATAGTGAAAATAGTTAATAGGCAATGATAAATTGAGTCTTTCAGAAGACTAGATGAACCCTATTGTTAGAAAATTAATTTATAACCAGTTCATTGTTCTTGCTACTTTGTCCCATAATAGTGTAAAAATACTACCCTTACAGCCTTCTGTTTCTTTCTTTCTAGATGTCACCATTTAATTTTGGTGTTTTCCCCTTACTGTTAGTAGTTAGTTGTTGTTTTTGTTTTTTGTTGTTTTCATATGAGCCATTGCTCTGGAGAAGGGTATTTTTATTTGTTTTAATAAAGTTAGTGTATTTAATGAATATTTTTCCCTCTTTTAAAGACTGTGAACCAGAAGAACTGACTGACTGGTCTATGGATGAAAAATGTTCATTTTGTAACCTACAAAGAGAAGCAGTCAGTGTAAGTTTTAGTGCTATGAAATTATTTCTAAACTCTTTGCACAATTGTAACACAATTTTTAAACTTAATTTGTTTTGAAAGTTTGTGACTTATAGTAGAATATAAATACTTGATTTTGGTACTGAGAAGAACAGTAAAGTCTCATGTTAGAAGTCTAACATTCACCTTATCTAGTAGGTGAAAATCCCAAACCACTCATCTTTTTTGCTTATATCACATTTCTTTCTCATAGCTCCCTGACTCATGAAATCAGTTCAGATCTGTTTTGTATTTACATAGACAAGGCTGATGATCTTGGAGGCCTGGTTTGGTCTAAGACCATCCTACAGGCTGATTTCTTAGGAATCAGTAGTTGGAGGATAATGTGGTACTACTAAAAAGTTTTAACTTTTTTCTTTCTCTTAAGTCTTTTGCATATGACAATTTTCTCCTGTGTAAATTATTAAATATTGGTGTCTACCTTAAACAGGGCAGAAACTAGACAAGCAGCATCTTCTTGTCTGGCGGGATCCTAATTCTTTATGTTCTGTTGTGAGAGGTCTGAGAGGAAATGAGAACTCTAGAACCTGTACCTATTTTGGTTAGATTAATAGGTAAACATAACTGCTTTGTTAAAAATTCTCATTGCTAGCATGTTATTTAGTGAAATTATTCAGCAATATATCTTATCTGCTCTTCTCTTTTTTGATTATACTTTTGCTAAGAAATAAGGCTAAATTTTTTTCCTGACTCTTGTTTCAAATTTAATATTCTCTATATAATTCGATATATTTAAAAGATACAACAAATGAGCATTTAGAGAGTTAATTTTTTTGCCATTTTTAATGGGATTCTACAGTTAGAAAGTGATTTTTTAATGTTGGTGTTTCTTTTTATATATATATAATTTTAGGATTGTGTACCATCTCTTGATTCTTCACAGTCAACACCAACAGAGGAGCTATCATCTCAGGGCCAGTCCAACACTGAAAAGATTGAATGCCAAGCAGAAAATTACCTAAATGCACTCTTTCGAAAGAAAGGTAATGTTGGTATCCATTTTTTATGCTTCTGTTCTTCCTTATTTTGTTACTGTTCTCAAGACTTCAAATGTTCTTTTATGTTTAATAAGTGATAGATTTATTACATTGTAAAACTATCCTTAAAATAAGTTAATAGCATTTATCAACTATTTCTTTGGTAGCATGAGTATGCTTACTTGACATTAAAATGTCATTGTTCTTTTAATTCCTGTTTCTGGACTATATAAACCAAGTGAGGCTTGTTTCATTTATTACTTTACTTGATATATATTATTGGCAGAAGTAGCTTTTACATCTTTGTTATCTGGAGAAAATATAGAACTATAGAACCTTCCATTTTTTGTTCTTGGCCATTTCTACAGTAGTAGAGTGTCTTAATTTTTACCTCACAGTAATTCATGGTGTAGAGGAATACAGGATGGGAGGGGGATCTTTCTAACCTCCAACTTCCAGAGATTGAGAGCATTACCTTTTTCTTATTGAGGTATTGACCTTGTTTTGCTTTTACTTCTGTTTGAAATTATGTAATATCAAATATTTTCTGTTAAATTGTTAACTTACAAGTTTTAATCAATAATATTGAAAACAGTCCTCACCTTTAAGAAAGCAGGCTTTTGTTTAATCTGAAGTGTAATGAGGTCTTTTATGTGTTGAAATATGAGAGTTTTCTGATTAGAAGAATCACTAGTATATTAGAAGTCCTAATATAAGAATTTTTTTATAATGCAGGGGACTGAAAATATTTTCTGTTACTGACATACTATTTGAGAAATGGGCATTGTCTTTATTTTTTTAATTTAATCTTTATTGTTTAGATTATTACAATTGTTTCTCCTTTTTCCCCCATAGCTCCCCTCCACTCGGTTCCCACCCCACCCTTTGCCCTTACCTTCTCCCCACTGTCCTCATTCATAGGTGTACGATTTTTGTCCATTCTCTTCCCATACACCCCAAACCCCTTTCCCCCTGAGAATTATCAGTCCCCTCCCATTCTATGCCCCTGATTCTATTTTATTCACCAGTTTATTCTGTTCATCAGATTTTTAATTCTCTTGATTTTTAGATGCACTTGTTGATAGGTATTTGTTGTTCATAATTTTTATCTTTACTTTTTTTTCTTCATCCTCTTCTTAGAAAATACCTTTCAGCATTTCATATAATACTGGTTAGGTGGTGATGAACCATCTCTCATTGATGTCTCTAGCTCTCTATCCCTCTCCCTTTTTTTCTGTAAAAAATCAATAAAATATATTATTTTAAAAAAAAAGAAAGTACTTCTGAATACATACTGTCTTTTAAATACAGTAAGTACTTTGGAGTAGCAAATAATATGTTGATAGCACATCTTACTGGTTAAGTTTTTATTTGATTCCTGAAAATTTCTCAATCTTGAACATTTTAGTTACTGGGTATTAATAACATTAGTATTACTGACACTTGAAATCTGTTACTAGTTTGAGGAATGTTAATCATCTTGCCAAAAAATAAGAAATCGGTTAAGATCCTTATTGTAGCTTGCTTATTATCTTTTCTAACAGTGGTTTTGGGGATGGTGATGATTATAATTATATACTATTATTATTTTTTTTTTTTTATTGATTTTTCACAGAGAGGAAGAGAGAGGGATAGAGAGCTAGAAACGTCGATGAGAGAGAAACATCGACTAGCTGCCTCTTGCACACCCCCTACTGGGGATGTGCCCGCAACCAAGGTACATGCCCTTGACCGGAATCGAACCCGGGACCTTTCGGTCCACAGACCGACGCTCTACCACTGAGCCAAACCGGTCCCGGCTATACTATTATTATTAAGAACTCACAACTCAGGATAATGAAGATTGATGTCAGCAATTATGATTGAGCACTAATCCCATTTTGTACCTTATCTCATTTAGTTAAACAATGTTAAGAGGTAGGTACTGTTATCTTTTTAACAGGCAGAGACAATGAAGTATAGAGAAGTTTAGTGTCTTTTAATTCTGTGTATTGAATATGTGAGTCCTCAAGAATAAATTTTAAAAGGTATAAGATGTCCTGTGTGAGGAACATCTAGATCCTTTTAAGCACTAAGTAGAGAAACCCTATTCTCTGCTATTTAGCAGCCTATGACTAGAATTATTTTAATTGAATTAGACTAGAGAGGGAACCTATGAGAAATATCCTATATTTCTCATGGATTTCCATTTTTCTTTTATATGAACAGAATAGGTTTAGTGATTAGATCCCTTAATAGTACTGATTTTCAACCTTTTTCATCTCATGGCACACATAAACTAATGACTAAAATCCTGCAACAAACATTAATATAAAATAAAATATATTTTTGTCAATCTGACAAGAAAAATAGATGTAATTTTGATCCGTTCACACCAGACAGCTATTGTTGTGCTGGCTGTTGTCATATATATATGATCTAAGAGAAAAGAGGTCAGTGCTGCTGACTAGTCACATATACATATTTTAAAAAATTCTTACAGTACAACAGTTGAAAATCACTACTTATAGTGTTTAGAGATAGAACTAAGGAAACTTATTTAAGCTACATACAATTTGGATGATTCCTTGTAATTGGGAGCTATTCAAAAATAATCTTACAGGATGGTAAATAGAATCAGGGAGGAAGGGGAAATTTTAGTACAGAGGTAAACTTAATTAGTTTTGCTTCTTCTTTACTTTAGAAATTATTCAAAATTGAATTTTCTTCTAGAAGTTAATCTTAAAATTGTCTAGAATGCTAGAGTGAAAGTGCTTTGATAGCAGGGACTTTGTTTTGTTAATTGCAGAGTCCTCAGTATCTAGAACAGTACTTGTCATAACCCTGGATTTCAGTAATTTTCTTGAATAAATATATGAATGAATGCATGAATGAATGAGTGAATACTAAGATAAACTGTCTATATATTTTCCAGTTTCTCTACATACTCCAGTTTTATTTGTGCTGTTTAAAGAAGAAAATTATTTATCATGTATATATAGTTTACCTTTTTCTACTTTGCACTTAATTACTGTATATAGTTTAAATATCAGTCATTTTATTTGTTTTGTAATGAGATAAACATAAGCACATAGATAGGTCTTTTACAAAGCCATCACCATGAGGTGTGCACTAAATTATTTTGATTTTAACTTCACATTCTCTGATCAACTGAAGCAGTGTTAAGTCACTGATTTGTTATTCAGGAAAATGTTTCTTCTTCATTTGAAGGCTACTTGATTTGACTAAATTGGACAGACAGTATGCACATAATACCTGAATACATCGTACTGCTAAATATGTAATAAAATGAAACCATCCTTAATCAAAATATAATGTTTTTCCTACTTTATCTTTTACCCCCAACATATTAGAATTCATGTAACTACTATTCTGGCCTTTTATTTTCTAACCAATGGCCTATTGCACTAATTTGTGCACATTGAAAGTAGATTAATTATTCGAAACCGGTTTGGCTCAGTGGATAGAGTGTCAGCTTGTGGACTCAAAGGTCCCAGGTTTGATTCCGGTCAAGGGCATGTACCTTGGTTGCAGGCACATCCCCAGTAGGGGGTGTGCAAGAAGCAGCTGATCAATGATTTTTTCTCATCGATGCTTCTAATTCTCTATCCCTCTCTTCCTCTCTGTAAAAAATCAATAAGATATATGTTTTAAAAAAAAAGTAATTAGGAGAAATATTTTAACATCACTATTCACCCTTTCTCTACCGTAGAAGTGTCAACCAGATTCACAATCGACAATGACAGATGGAAACACACACATACAATTGGCGCCAGTGAGAGCTTTATATGTATCATGCATACATGAGTCAACTAAGCCTATAGATATAGAATAAACTTGCTTAAGTAGATCTGCTTTCTGGTTTAGCTAAACTTTTTCTAGCCCAGTGAAACACACCAACTTATCTTTCAGGTAATAGCAATACAGCAGTAAATATCAACACAAAGCAGATTATTATTATAGATCACTCAGGGAGAACAAACAATAGTACATTTAACTGCAGCAGCGTTTGACCGTATTCTGCACAGTGAGAAAACCTGAAGTCATTGTCAAGGTCCACCATTTCTTACTTTTTTTTCAGTCGGGTCAAGCTTCTACGCTTTCTAAATCTCTGTTTCTCAGCTAATGAAAATAGGACTCCACTTCTGTGATGATTAAAGAGATGAGGCACAGAAAAAGCTTCACAGACATTTGATTAAAGTGTGAAATGTTTGCACCTGGCTATAAAGCAAGTTGTATTCCTGGGCTGAAGAAACTGCAAGGTCGCTAGGCTGGGCTGTGGGCTGCATTTTGCACCATGGGGTTTCAGCAGCATCAGCTGTAATTTGGTGGGCTGTCGCTCGGAGTGGTAGAGGGACCTCTGTCCCATTTGGGGGAAGCCGAATGTTACTTGATGGGCACCAGGTCAATGGTGCCATTTTTCTGTGCGTGCCATGGCAGCTCCTGCAGTGAGTGTCTATCCCCTGGTGCTCAGTCGAATGGAAGGACACTTAGCATATTATCCTAAGATATACACACACACACACACACACACACACACACAGAGAGAGAGAGAGAGAGAGAGAGAGAGAGAGAGAGAGAGAGAGAATATGAATGAATAGTGGCCCAGTGCACAGATATGTGCACATTGAAAGGAAGTTAATTAGAAGAAATAATTTAATATCACTGGCAGATCAAAACACATGCATGCAATTGGCACCAGTGAGAGCTTTAGATGTATCACGCATGCGTAAGTCAACATTTATTTTTAAGTTACCGGTGTGTGTCATATGTACCAGTCGGTCGGATGTACAGTCATTCACTTAGCCTTTTACATATACTAGTATAGATACTATTTTTTCCAGTTAATGTGTTTGTTTTTTTTATTTCAGAGAGAGGAAGGAAGAAGGAGATGGACAAAAATATCAATGATGAGAGAGAAAGAATCATTGATCAGCTGCCTGCCACACACACTACACTGGGAATTGCCCTGACCAGTAATCAAACATGACCTCTTGGTTCAATGT